AGTTCTTCTTCGCAAAAAGTATATTGCTATGCTGCGCGCAAACCGCCGCTCCAAGAAGCACCCAACAAACTAAACGGGCTGTTTTTGCCGTTGCTGTTCTTGTTGGTGGTAGTGTTTCAATTGTTGTTGTTGTTGCTGTTGCTGTTGCTGTTGGTGGTTTTGCTGTGGCCAGTAGTGATGCTGATACTGGTGAAAGCCAGGCTAACTGGTTGTCTTTACCTGATATACTACTATTATTTGGTGGCGGGCACATTGGCCTCTTTGAAAACTTAAAAGCATATGGCACCCACTCCTGCTTTCTTCTACACAAATGTAGTCGTCAAAAATTTTTTAACAAAATGCTGTTAATGGTGTTCAGTTTTGCTTTTCTTTTCTTTTTTTTTCTTTTAGTTTCTACTCAATATGTTTTCTTGGCAGCGGAAGATGCTTATATATGTTTGCTCAGTAAGCGCAACTGTGATAAACGATAATAATATGAGCACATATACATCAAACAAAACTAAAGCTTTTAAGGGAGCGAAAGGAACTGTACATTTGCAGTGTCTGTGCTTTTTTTTTTCTGCTATTACTGTTCAAGTAGCACAACAGCGTCACCAAGATTGAACCAAGAAATTTGTGTTTACGTTTTAGTGTCGTTGTATCAGATAATGTTGATGACAATCAAAATGACAACAATGATGCTGGTGATGACCCGCTAAGTGTTATGCAGTAAAGTAAAAAGGTTGTTGAAATATTACTTTCCGGCAAAATAACAAATTTCCATTAACTCAAATTTCTGTTTAATTTCAGCAAACAAATGGAATGTGTTGTAACAACGATTCTGGGAGGGTACAGTAATTTATTATACTTTAAGTGTTAAATGTCATTAATGTTTACTTTTTTCTTTCGTTCTCCTCACCTTTCGATTTTTTTTCTCTGTTTTCCTTGTCTTTTCTTCCTTTTTTTTTCTTTGTTATTTTTTATCTCGTATGATCAACTGAAATCGTGATGAATTTCCAGTGGTTTTGGTGGTCTTGGAGTTTTTTTTGCCAAACGTTTCAAAACATCAGATTATAACAGAAACGTAAAACAGAAGTACATTAGAAGCAGTATACCAGCAAACAAAAGTGACAATAGTGAGAGCCAGTGGTTTATGTTAATATTTTATCAGAACACAAATTTTTGCCTCAACAGCGTCCAGATGTTTTACAGAATAGAAAAAATTTGAGGAATTCTGGCCACCTTGTGTAGGTTACCATCATTTATAACTGACGTTTTAACAGGAACTCTGAGTTTAGCCTGGAATTAGCACTTCACGAGATAAGTATTTGCAGAACACTTCCAAAGAAGAAGAAGAAAAAAAAACATAAGATATAGACTGTGTTTTGGTCTTTTTAAAATATGACTGGATTTGAGTAAAGGTGTTTTGGACAGTTCCAGAAAATAAAAGCCTAGTTTTGTTTTTAAGCAGTTTTGATTATTGGAGCCATTTAGCAACAGCAATTCAGTTGTCTCAGCAAGATTTCATAATGCCATTTTTGAGTTCAGAAGTAAAAAAAATTTGGTCAAATGTAATCCGAATTTTTTTATATTTGTTTTCGTGTAAAAAAGTTTCCGATTTACTTTTTTTTTCGCTGTAGTAAATAACTTTCTTTTTCTCGTGTTATTTTGCTAGCAACTTATCTCTTACGCTCGCTATGAAATTCCGTAACGTGGTTTCCTGTGGGAAAGAATAGTTAGCAGGAAGTGGTAGCAACGTTTTTTATCATTATTATCACACAGTTTCATTTAAGCTTATTTAGATATAAATTTTAGACTTGAAAGCAAAGTTTTGACATCAAAATATTCTTTGGTGCCGCTAAAAACGTAGTGGAGTAATATAGAGTACCCTGTCTAGCATCTTCTCCGGTATGACCCCACAAGGAAGCTTTTGGAGGTCACCTGGATGGAGTTGCTCATTCCGGCGAATGGGCAAAGTATCACCAGCCGGCTAATTTTTACATCTTTATGGGGATTGTAAGAATTTCTAAAGAGGATTGCGGTTGTACGCAACATCTTGACTTAAGAATCGCTCCAGTATCGTCTGCTTTCGGCTGTGTTAAGTTTAAGCTTTCATTTTTTGTTAATCGAGTTTGCTGTGTCGTTCTAAAATTAGTTAAATCATTATAGAATTTTGCTTTCATTCGTGAGTTGTAATATTTTGACGTAAATAAAAAAATTTATATAATTCTTCAAAAGACAAAAAAGGGGGAACAGGCATATTAGGAATAAGGGCAAAGCTGCTCCCTATTAAGGCGTGACATCAAGCAGAAGACTATTCAAGATCTACTTATTCTGGTAACAATCCTTAACATGGTTGGGAAGGAGTTGTCGCTCAGGTTGGTAAAACCAGTTACAAAGGCCAAAGAGTAACCATAACTTGGGTAAGTGAGAACCGTTTACGTTTAACAACGGTGAAGACAATTGTCTAACACAGTACATCCTTGCAAGGCAATAGAGGGCTATTGCATCCTGCAAGGAAAGAGAGAAAACGGTAAAAGTTTTCCGTAGGGACATATAGAAGGAAAATTGTAGCGATTATTTTCTAGATTTTAAAATCCTGTCAATAGCCGCCACAAATACAAAAGGGTAGTTGTTAGGTAGCAAAATCTGTTTTTCATTATTTTTATAAGAGGCGAAATATACTAGAGTTTGCAAGAATGACAGTGATTAAACTATCTGTACTTTAAGTCAAAACCCGGATAGTACCAACGCTTTTTAGCACCTTTATGACGACAGGTATAGAGATATCCTATTAACCACTGGACAACTATTTTGAAAAATTGAGTTAATTTTAAATATTTGATCAGTTAAAATTTCCGAAACCAATTATTAAACACCTTAAAGCTTTTGAACCAAACAGCTGTAAACTATCAAATGTTGAATAAGTTGCAAAAATGAAATATTTTCGTGGACATAGTTGAAATTACCTTGCTATTCTGTTTCTTTAAAGACTTGCGTAAAATTATCGATTTATTACTGTCTACTTTTCTTCTATCGTTTACTTTTGATACCAGAAAACTTTGAAGATTATGTGTGTGACAATGAATAAGTGAAAAAAGAAAAGTGAACTATTTTACATTTTTGCAGTAGTAAAGAAAAGGAAAACTCTTATGCACTAATCATTTCACTGAACCTAAAATTTTTAATTTGACACTTTGTTATGATTCTTCAAGTTTTTGTTATACTAGACTTGCAAAAAAATTCTCATTATTTTTTTCACGGCCATTTATAAAATTAATAAACGAAATTTAACCATTTCTCTTCTTTAAGCGGAACTTTTACGCACTTTTTTCAATAGTATCATATTTATACCGCTGCATTGAGAGTATAACAGAAAATTTTTGTTATCAAAAATTACCAGATAAAAAAGCACTTTGAGATTGAGTTTAGATGCTTAGATAAAGAAGATGAAGCATTTTTTGTTAAACCTGAAAATACTTTCAAAAAGAAAAATGAATGATTCTGCTCTACCACATTCGAATCTTCAGTCATTAGAGTTTGTAGAGGGCAGTACAGGAGAGCATTTCCAGTAGATTAAATTGTTATTCATGATAATTCAATCAA